AGGAATATCCAGATTTATCAACATTGCAGTTTGAATCTTTCTTGAATCGTATTAACAGTAAAAATATAAATGTGAATATTGAAGAAGAGACTGATAATGTTAAGGATACTATCGATGAAGAAGATTTCCATGATTCAGATTATAAAATTTCTGATGAAGATGATAACTTTCAGGAGGTTATAGTTGTAAACAAAAATGTGAAATGGAGGGGACGACCACAAATTGCACCAGGCTCTATCAATGTACCATCTCGTTCTGCGATTGTAGTACCACAAGAGGTTGTTGATACAGAATCTGATTATGTAGATTCAGATGAAATGTAGGAGGAGGTTGAGTCTGAAAAATAAGAAGATAAGCTTCAGGAAAAAAGTTCCCTATGTAGAGTATAATGAAGAAAAACACAAAGACAAGCCAAAATTAGAACTAGGGATGACATTTGGAAATTTTACAGAATTTAAACAAGCTTGCATGGAGTGGGGTATTAAAAATAGAAGACAACTAAAGTTTTATCCTAATGATACAGAGAGAGAATGGTGTGTATTTGCAAGCGAAAAGACTGTCCATTTAGAATTTATGCTAATAAGTGAAGTCAAGATGATCCTATTATGAAGATCAAGTCTATAAATTTGAATCATAAGGGTGGCATGGTGTTTGATAATCCACACATGACACCAAAATATATAGCTCGATGGTCTTTGGAATTTTTGAAGTTGATCCAAATTGGAGTTTAAATGGAATCATAGCTACTATAAGAAATGACCTCAAGTATACAATATCATATAAGAAGTCATGGAGAGCCAAAGATCAAGCTCTAAAATGGGTGGTTGGAGATAAGAGCCTTCAATATGGTAAGTTTTTATCATACAGAGCAGAGTTATTAAATTCTAATCCTTGATCAACTGTTTGTTGAAATTAATGCATCAATGTTTAGTCTTCCGAAATTGTCTCTTTGTTTTTCCAGAAGTCTTTTTAGAATTTCATAGTGCATGTATCTAGTAAATTGTGATACATGTATTTAGTTATTTTTTTTCTTTTTTGAGTAGTATAAATAGTGATGTAGTTGATGATTGTAATTATCTCAACTGTCCTTAAGTGGCCAATAATAAGCTTCAGCATTCTCTAAAGATATTATTTTCCTTCCATATTTCCTATTAATTGGTATTAGAGCAGGGCCCATCTCACCCGATGTTGGGCCCCCAAAATCAAAACTGCTCACGCACTAGATGCTAAGCATTGGGCGTGAGGTGGGGTGTAAAAAATGACAAAAGTCTCACATCAGTGGTTAATTGGATGGGTGGACTCCATATAAGGCTTCAAGAATCCTCCCCCCTTTGATCTACCTTTTGGGTGTGAGTTAGGCCTAAGACCTAATTTCACATGGTATCAGAGCACGTTTTAGTTCTTAATCTGGGTGTTAGGTGAAGAAAAAAATAGGGTATCCAAAACAAATGGAGGTGTTGATTCTTCAGTTGTTCTTACTCCATTTTTTGATGGAAATGATTTTGAATACTCGAAGATAAGTATGAGAACACATTTGAAAGCTGAAGGTTGTGGACTATTGTTGCAAATGGATTTGAAGAGCCAAACAACGATGGTGATCTTACAATAGCGGAGATGAAAAATCTTGAGGCTAAGTATCGTCAATATGCAGAAGCCTTGAGCAAAATACAAATGGGTGTTTCAAGAGCATATTTTGCAAAAATTGCTACATGTGAGACTACAAAGGAATCTTGGGATTTTCTCAAAAATGAGGTGTATGGTGATGAAAAGGTACGTATTATAAATCTCCACATTCTTGAGAGTTTAAATATTTAAAGATGATAGAATCTGAAAAAATTGATGAATATCATGAATATTGTTAATGAAATGAGAAATCATAGTGATACAATTTGTAACCAACAAGTTGTGGAAAAGATTGTAATTAGTGTCATAAAAAAGTATGTTACATCTCTGTTATCACTAAGAAGACGAAAGATCTTTCTAATTTTTCCATCAAAGAGCTAGTTGGATCATTTCGTGCACACGAGAAGCAAAGATTTTTTCTTGAAGATCAACCCAAAGAGATGGCTTTCCGGTCTAAAACAAATGAGAATTCTCAAAAGTTCTCAAAAAATTATCAGAAGAAGAATCACAAGACAAAAAAGATGCAGGATCATGATGGTTCTTCCTAAAAGGTTGGAAAAAAAAGGTGAGAAAAACTCTAGTCTTTTTTATAAAGTTTGCAAAAAGACTAATTACAATGCAGAAAAATGTTGGCACAAAGGAAAGTCCCAATGTAACATTTGTAAAAAGTTTGGCCACGTTGAAAAATATTGCTGGCACAAGAAAAAATAGGAGGAAGAAAGGAAAACCTTTTTTTGCTTCTAAATCTGATGCATCAACAAAAAAAAAGAATGGTATATTAATATTGGTTTTAGTAATCACATGACTTGAGATGAAAAGACTTTCCTCTCAATTAATAATAGCATCACTTCTAAAGTGAAGATGGTGAATGGAGCCTTAGTTGATGCGAAAGGTAAAGGTACTATTTCGATCAACATGAAAGGAACTGGTAAGCAAATTCATGATGTTTCTTATGTTGCTTACTTGGAAGAAAATTTGCTTAGTGTTGGTCAACTCATGGAAAATGGTTATTCTCTTGTGTTTAGATATAATTATTGCAGGATTTATGATAAAATTGAGCCAAATCAAGTAACTTTTGAAGTAAAGATGATTAAAAAGAAACTTCCCTTTGCAATTTCAGTACAATGCATTAAAAATGAAATTGAAGATTTTGTCACTTAAATTTTCATGGTGTAAAGCTTCTCAAGCAAAAGGACGTGGTGCAAGGAATTCCTGAGATACATATTGAGGTGGATACATGTGAAAGTTGTATAATGGGAAAGCAACACAAGAAATATTTTCCAAAAGAGGTGTAAGTGTATTTTTGAAACTAATTCATACCGACATTTGTGGACCAATGAAGACTCCATCTCTTGGAAGTCAAAGGTATTTTCTAATCTTTATTGATGATTTCTCAAGAATGACTTGAAAAAAAATTCTTGAAAGGAAAGTCAGAAGCATTTGCTACATTCAAGAAATTTAAAGCCCTTGTTGACAAGCAAAAAGGTTGCAGCATAAAAACTATTCGCAGTGATCGAGGAGGTGACTACACAAGTTGTGTATTCATTTATAGAAGATCTGAATTTATACAAGGAAAAAGCTAACTATTTCCTATATAGTAACCACTTTCAAAGTGGATGTTAAAACTAAATAAGAACATGTTCCACTAACAACCATAAAAGGGGTCACTAACAGCTATTAAAAAGGTCACTAACTTCAGAGAGTTGAACAACTAAAGTTGACTAAGTCTAGCTACAAACTAGGAAGCACTAAACTGAAATAAGAAAAAAATAGTAAGAACAATAATCTAGAGAAAATGTCAATTGTCTAACACTTCTCCTTGGCATTTTTATGGCAAACACCAATTCTTTTGCCTCAGATCTTCAAACTATTCATTTGGCAATGACTTAGTGAAAATTCCAGCTAGCTGGTTCTCAGATAAACAACGAACAAGAAAAATTTTATCAGATTTTTCGACTTCTCTAATAAAATGAAATTTGATCTTGATATGCTTAGTTCGACCATGAAACACTAGATTTTTTGAGATTCAAACTTCAGAACTATTGTCACACGTGATCATGGTAGCTTCTGTTTGTTCATGGACCAAGTATTTCAACTTCTTCCTTAGCCAGATAGCTTGATTCAGAGCAGATTTAACAACTATGTACTCAGCTTGTGCTGTTGATTGAGCTGTAGTTTCCTGTTTCCTAGAGCTCAAACTAAAACAACTTGTCACCAAACAGAAAAGATATCCAGAGGTGCTTCTGGAATCATCAAATCTTCCACCCAAATCACTATTAGAGTACCCGATCAGGTTCATAGTTACTTCGCTAGATGTTGGGGAAAAAGTTCAAACTTGTTGGTTCCTTTAGTATACCTTAACACTCTTTTAGCCGTTGTGAAGTGTGTGTTCTAGGTGAATTCATGAATCTAGATAGCATATTTACAACAAATAGAATTTTAGATGTGCTTGGGGTTAGATATAGAATATTGCCAATTAAGCTTCTATACATACTATCATCCATTTTTTTTCGGAATCCTCATCCTTGACAAGCTTCAACTAGTAGAGATTACAGTACTCACAGGTTTGGATTCTTGCAATTTGAACCTGTTTAGAATATCCGAAATATGTTTTTGACGGCCTATGAAAATTCCATCCTTGGACTGCAACACTTCCATTCCAAGGAAGTACTTAATGAGTCCAAGACCAGTCATTTCAAAGATTTTCTCCATTTCATCCTTGAATCTTTGGATAAGTTCAATTTTTCTTCGTGTCACAAGCATGTCATCCACATAATTTTAGACAATCAAGGACTCACCCCTACAGTGACTTTAACATATAAAGTAGCTTCACTTTGTCTTCTACTAAAGAAAAGTTGGATGAGATGATTTTTCATCCTTTCATACCATGCCTTTGGGGCTTGTATTAGACCATATAAGGCCTTCGCTAAGGGATAAACTTGATCATCTTTTCCATGAAATATGAAACCATCAGGTTGCTCTACATAGATCTCTCCAGCAAAACCATTCAAAAAAAATATAATTTGACATCAAGTGAACTATGAGATACAAATTCAAGAATAATCTTGATTATATCATAAATTTCTACTGGAGCAAATGTTTCTTGGTAATCCACACCATATTATTGTGTGTATTCCTTCACCACCAATCTAGCCTGATGTTTTCAAATTGTTTGATTAGGATTTAGTTTTATCTTGAAAATCTATTTTAAACCAATGGCCTTGCAGTTTCTAGGAATGTCAACAAGCTGCCAAGTTCTATTCTTCTTGATCATGTCTAGTTCATCTTCCATAGCTTTCCTCATGCCTGAGAGTCTTGTGCTTCAACATAGCTTGTCAGTTCATAGGTAACCAAGTTACACCACGTATAGACATCTTTTAAGGTTCAAGACCCCTAACTGGTACATTATCCAATAGTTCATCATCAAAAAGTTGAGACTGCTCTTTTGAAAATAAATTAGAATGTGAGGTCTTCTCATTTTTCCAATCCCAACCAGCTATTTCATCAAACTTCACTTCTTGGTTGAGAGTTAACTTTTCTGATTTCAAACGGAAAATCATGTAACCTTTAAATGAACTATAGCCCACAAATGTTCCTTTATGAGCCTTGTTATCCAACTTATTCCTCTTTATTTTTGGAACTCGATAATTACATATGATCCCACAAATTTTGATATGGTGTATTGATGGTTTGTTCCCACACCAAGCTTCAAATGGAGTCATGTCCTGCAATGTGTTAGTAGGCAATCTATTTAGCAAATATACAGAGGTATTTACTACCTCCACCCAAAGATCATTTGGGATCTTTTTTTCTAGCAAAAGACATTTGTTGATCTCCATTATTGTCTTATTCTTCTTTTCAGACACACCATTTTGTTGTGGAATGTACGGTAATATCAATTGGCGTTCAGTACTTGCGCAATTACAAAACTTCACAAATTGAGAAAAGTATATTATCCTCCATTGGTAGACCTTAAAGCCTTAATACTAAGATTACATTTATTTTCTACTAAAGCTTTAAATTATTTTAAAACATCGAAGATTTCACTCTTCAGTCTAATTTAATAAGCCTAACACATTCTGGTGTAGTTATCAATAAAGTGAGAAAGCATTTCTTCGCACACAATGAATAGTTTTTATTAGGCCGAAAACATCCGTATAGCTGAATTTCGTTGTTAGCTCTCTATACTTGATTTGCTTGAAATGAAAATTTTGTTTGCTTCCCTGTTTGAAAGTTTCAAAAACTTGAGCATTATAAAAAAATTCAGGCACATTTATACTAAGTCCTTCTTTTTCATCTAACGATGCGGCTTAGTTTGAAGTGGCCAAACCTTTTATGCCATAAGTTTGTACATGTTTTTGAAGTTATAGTGTAAGCCTGCTCAATCATTTTCTCCCAATTAATTGAAAACATTTGATTGCTCGTCTTGACATAAACTAATTCCATTCCAAAAGGGTAAGAAACAACACATTCACAATTCTTAAAATGCAAAGAATAATTATTTTAATTATTTCTCTAATACTCAATAACTTTTGACTCAAATAAGTTGTGTACAAAACACCAGGAATAGTGTGGGTACCTAATATTGTTGATATATACATTGTACCTCTGCCTTTGACTTCTAGTGCCTCAACTTTTCCCACTTTTACTTTATATTGTAGGTACGATGAAGGAATTTGAACATTTAAACATCATTGCGTAAGGGATTTCTGCAACCACTATTAAGAATCCATGAATCAGAGGATTCATTGATTGAAAGTATGAAACAACAAAAAGTTGCTCCTCATGTGCATCTGCAACTTCTGCTACTTGTGCTTGAAAAGCAACAGAGGTCTTTGCTCTTGATTTTCAGACCCTAAATATGTGTCTTGTCTGCTTATGGTTGTCACATATAGCACCGACTCTCAACCAATAGGACTTCTCCACACGTATAGTTCTTTTACAATGTTTGCCTGAAGGGAACTTCTGCTTCACATCTCCACTATTGTTTCCTTAATCATGCTTGCACTTATTCTTTTGGTGGAACTATTGCTTTCCTTTACCATATATTTGTTTTTTTACTGATAAAACTCCTTCCGTCAACTTGTCATGTCTCATAGTCCTCTATTTCTCTTGTGCTTGAAGAGCACATATTAGTTCACCTAATGAAAGTTTGCCCAAGTCCTGAATTCTTTAAGAGAGGAAATATTAGATTCAAACCGCCGAGGAAGATTCCCAAGAACATTCTCCACAATTTACTTTCTGTAAATTCTTCACAAAGGAGATCCGATCAGCATACTAATTGTTTCATCCTCCTGCAAATTCAAGGACTTAAACTCTCTTCAGGTTCAACACTTGCTTTTGATGTGTTTTATGGGTGCCTTCTATTCTTCTTTCAACCTATCCCAAACCTCTTTTGCTATTTTGCAAGTCATGATTTTGGAAAGCACATAATCTACCACAACATTCTCCATAAGAAACTTTGGTTTAGATTTCTTTGCCTTCTTTTCATTGTTGGATTTGATTTGAGCTAAGGTAGGATTTGGTGGTAGAGCAGCAAGTGGTTTATTGTCACAGTTTCCCAAAGTTCATAGGCTTCTAGAAAACTTGTATCTTCACAGGCCAAATTTAGTAATTTTCACCTAAGAAAGTGAATGATGTATTTAAAGGTAGGTTGTTGGATGCCATTTTTGTGTTGTAAGTTAAAACTTTTTAGTCATGTAAGATGAACTAGAAGATCTAATGCCACTATTAGAACATAAACACTGAAGAATTGATTTAAAGAATAAAAATAGAATGATCATATGAAATTCCAGTTGTGTATTCTTCTAAATTTATAATAGGAAAAGCCTAACTATCTCACATCTAGAATCCACTTACAAAGTGGATGTCAAAACAAAATAAGAAGATGTGCGACTAACAACCAGAAAAGGGGCCACTAACAGCCATTAAGGTCTAACTTACTAAGTCTAGCTAGAAAATAGGAATCACTAAACTAAGATAAGTAAAAAACTAATAAAAATAATAATCTAGAAAAAATGTTAATTATCTAAGAAAATAGAGTTGTTGCAATAACATTTTCTTAAGCACTAGCTACCAATTGTTGGATCTAATAAAGACGAAAATGGGTAAGAAAATCACAACTAAAGTAGTGCAGGAGTTTATAGTGTGGGAGTTTCTTTAACCGACAACCACCACTATGAGCCCAAGTGGTGATACATCGTCTCGCCCACGTTGCCAGAAATGTCCTATACTTTGGCGTTGCATAGAACATCTTCTACCTAGTGGATCCACTGGCTAAACTCACGTGATCATCTAAAAAGTATGAGCTGTTAGTACCCATGTTGGTTACATGGTTTACATGGAGACTTGAATTAATGAACTCTCATCCCTACATCGATGCTCAATAATACTCCCAAAATATACTTTAATTTCATGCTTATTAAAATAAACTCTTTCCTTTAGGTTGAGATAATTTTCTCAACCCTTTTTAGCTTTTAAAAGCCCTCTTGGAATCTATATTCCTTTTTCTTGTTTAAAACTCTTAGATCCCTCTTATCTTAAATGTGAAAATATCTATAAACTCTTTGGGAATACTTAGTTCACATATACTTTTTTGAAAAATAGAATTTCAACATTACTCTTTCTTAACTTAGTGCTCAAATATTTAAAACAAGTTTTAAAATTATATGTAAAAAGACTTCCTAAAATAGGGTTCATCTCAAACTATGAACATGAACGACTCAATTCAAGGTTTTCAATAACCAAGCATAAAACTCTAGAATTTAGGGAGTGAATGATACTACTCATCTCAAGAATGCTCGATTCGGAGGCTGTATGCAGAATTATAGGTAAGAACTACTTAACTTAATGACTTAAGCTCGACTCATAGGGTTCATGAGTAATAATGGGCATGAACTACTTAACTAAAGAAATTAATGGGTAACATGCAATAGTCCCATAAATAGGAATTAGGAGATATTACTCCTCTCAATGATATTCAATTTATGTAATTCATGCGGAAGTTATCGACATGAACAACTCGACTCGAAGGTCTAAGTAACTAGATGAAACACATGTATACAAATCTTCACATTCTCTTACTTAATTCCTCAAAATTGAATACAAATAAATAATAGATATCAAATAATTCACAATTGAACTTAAAGGTTTTCTTGAACTCTATTGTTAACTCTCTCTTGAATGTGAATTATGAATTCAAGAGTTATAATATATAATATGAAGGATGTAGGTGATATTGTTGACTCATAAATATCTTATCCTCACTCTCATTCTCACTTACTTTAGTCTTGAAACAAGTAACTAGAAGTTGTAGAAGACTTTTCAAAATGACTCAAATAGACTCTCTCAAAAAGTTTGGAAGAACTCTCAAAACTAAATCTTGACTTTACCTTGAATTTCAATTGTTGTTTCAAAATTTGGATTTATGTTATGAATGATTTATATGTGTTTGGAAATATTTTTAAGTGTTTAGAATCAAAAGGAGTGTAGATACAATTTAAATGAGCTCAAACCGAGCAATAGGGGGCAAACTAGATGGGGAAGGTCACCCTAGGGCTATGGGTGGTGCGGTGCGCCAACCCTTGGAGTAAAGAGAAGAATTCGATTCTCTCTGGAAGGAGCGCCGCACCAGGCCCTAACCCAAATATTCTGCCGAACGACTTCGTTTTCTCACCCTAACTCGCATAAAATTAAATGGTCACTTCGCCGATCACTTGGATTTGATTAAGTAACTTAATTACACTCTAATTTACTGAAAAACAACCCTCATATTACTCAATTTCATCTCAATAATTCATCAAGAACCCAACACAAAAAGATTTATAATTAACCCATAGAACACCTATCAAGAACTCATAAAGAACTCTAATCTTTAAATTTAAGCATGAAATTTTGCTGAAAAATAATATGATTGGCGTGTGGCTGAACTATCCAACACTATGGAATCTTACATTTATCTTAGGAATTACACTAATGGCAAAAATCCACAACTAAACTCAATAACGTTGATCAACCCCTTCATCCTTTCATCTTTTCTCTTGTTTTCTATTCTTTTCTCTTCTTGCCTCTTCTTGAACTATCAACTAAAACCCTCGGTGTATATTAGAATTTTAAAATAGAACCTAAAAGGATTAGAGACCTAAAATATTACTAATAATGAATTTATTTTGATTGGGTAAGCAAAGGACCAAAATACCACTCATATTTTCGGCTAACTTTCCTTAAATAGACAACCTAACTTCAAAAGATCCTATCTCACTCATACGAACTCAAAATATTATATATCACTCATCGACGGACTTGGAAATATAATTCAAAGATCTTTCTTATGGTATCTTGTAGCACACCTGACTTATCCTATGCTAAGAGTTATGGTCGTTTGATGTTGACCCAAAACTCATACTTAACTTAACTATCCACATTTCAAATTTATGCTATTTCCAATTTTTAGTTATTTTGGGAATCTTGGTTCTAATTCTAGTATTATTACCTTAATACTTAATAAATTTTTAATTCCTTGGTAAAATCTCATTCACTACGATAAACGGTTCGAGTCTTAGTTTTAATGTTTTTTTGGGGTGTTATAGTAGTAGTTCAGCAGTTCCTAAGGGTCATTTCATTTCGTACCTTAAGGCGAGAAAGTTAGTTTCAAAGGGATGTATCTTTCACTTAGTCAAGTGCTGAGGTACCTTCCATTCAATTAGTTTCTATAGTAAAGGAGTTTTCAAAAGTCTTTCCTAAGTATCTACCCGAAGTCCCTCCTAAGAGAGAAATAGACTTTGACATAAACATCATTCCAAATACTCGTCCTATATCTATTCTAGCATATAAAATGGCA